TCTGTTTCTTTCAACTATATCGCGTTGCCCAAGAATCATGCTCCAAAAATTCGCACGGCAGTTTAGTCTAGGCCTAATTATTATCACCCTTCTTACCTTACATCGCTCTTACTCGAAAATTACCAGTGGTTTTTCAAGGCGAACCCAACTATTGATGAAACTGGCTACAAAAATTGGCCTGAATCCGTTTCACCGTGCGACGGCTGCCACACACAAACCAACATCGTCCAGAGGATAAATAAACTGGAAAAATTAAAGAGTGCTATACTCCAAACGTTTTTGACGTTCCGGAATCTTGCAATACCGCATATTTTGGTTGACAGCGTCGTATTAAGAAACTATGCCCCATATTACCAAAACACATTTGACTCTCTCTAAACACTATCCTGTTTTGTATTAACTCTGATAGACCAACAGCAAATGTACTCTCGCTATCTCTATTTCTTAATTTGTCCTTGCAGCCTGTTTCAGTTATAACTCCTATTGCTATATTTTCTCCTTGATTAGGGAGCCTCAGATAATGGTTGTGGCATCAGCATACATTCTCCGACCTTGTCCTTTCAGTTGATTCATTGTTCTCCTTCACGAGCCTTCATAAAACAAACCAATCTTGAAGCATACAATTATGCTGCCCGAAGAGGTGAAAGCTAATTGGTCAAATGTGTGTATAAAAGCACGACCGTCGCCGACGCTGCATTGTTCACCCCTCAGTCAGAAATGCTCTCATTAATTTCTGTATTGCTGTTGAGTGTTACTTCGGGATTTGCCTGTTTTAGCAACTCTGGTAAGTTAGCCCCCTTAGTATTTATGTTATCATGAATGCTGCCATGCTTAATGTGGACGGTGTGGACAACATGAAAGTACAAACTGATTTTTTGTATTGCCATGCAGGACCAGAACAATGTCCGCGAAGTAGCGGACAGGTGAATTATGCAGATGCCGCGCTGAAGCTACTGCATCCGAGTCAGTCATTGACAATAGACAAGGTAGACGTTTCGGGTGCCTGGAATATATTTAAAATGACAATGAGCATGGCAGAAGCAAAGCCGGAGTGCCGTAGTGTTCGAAGTGCAGCGCTCGTCAAGGATGTCTGGTGTACCATTCAGACTGCACGTGTCGATATTCTTATTGAGCTCATGTAAGTCAACCACGTGTGGTTCATTTCCTATTTTTCGAAATCATGTTGCCTACTTGGCCTTCATCCAATTACTTTAGTTCTCAATGGTAAAGTATGTTCGTATTTTTATCTTTCAGGATGCCACTTCGAAATGTGTATGGTGCAATACCCCCAACCTCAGATCAGAGTATTATTGTTATTCCAGGGGAGGTGGTGTGAGTCAACCATGTGTAGCTCATTTCCTAGTTAGAGAACGAATGCTGTCTTTCGGGCTTATTTGAGTTCTCAATTGTAGAGCATTTTGTATTTTGATATTTCAGAATGCCAGGCCTGACTGCGTATGGCGCTTCACCCAGTATATTCGATCAGATTAAGATGGCCATTCCGGGGGCCGTGCTCAACGTCAAGTTGGAGGAGAAGCTGTTGGGAAATGGTGATCATTTAGCACACATCCTGCAGCTTGCTGAAATCAGAATTCAAAATATCAGTTCAATCATAGACGACATTAAGCGATCATTTCCCAAAGCAGCCTTTGACGACTGGAGGAAATGGGTTCTGGCGAACACTGGAATGCTTCTACAACAGGCAATTCAGCAGCGCGGAGAAAAACAATGTCAATGGTAGTAGGAAGATTTCCCCTTTCTTCTTATTCATCATTATGGGGGCACTTGATGCCATTTGGAGCTGCCTTCAAATTTATTTTTTGGTTGTATATTTTTGTTTGGTTAATTGGTGAGTGTACACATACTATCCTGCATCCAAGCAATATTCTGGAAATAAACCCTTTGATTTGGAAATGATCTTGCTATTTGAAGAGGGACTCCTTACTACGGATGCTCCTAGCTTGGGGTTGATAAATTGAAAAAAATTCGATTCAGTGTTAATACAAATGCAAAGGCTATACTTATATTAAAACAGCTGATAATCACAAATAGATGTCATTAAGAATATGAGTGATCTGATACACAGAAAAGGGCATTTAAATAACTGCTAAGAATTTGATAAGTTTCTAGAAAAAATCTTTAATGTTAGTGGCAATAAATTCTGATATATTACTACAATCCAGTAGGCTCGGAGTGACTTGAGCAAAATAAGTATGAGTAATGGCAAGTGACTCCGTTCACATAACTAGCGTGATAATATATTTGACGATATTCACATTTTTGCTTGATTCGTAAGTAGACTGGAAATGCCCATTTTGACGGAGAACCTTCGCGTTCCAGGTATTTGCGTGCACCATGAAGAAGGATTGTCGAGAAACCGATCATTTGGATAATTATCCTGAGCTGTCGGGATCCTGCGGTAGTCCATCATCAGAGAGGAAAGCGTATACATGAGAGAAGCAACAGTTTGAGCGGGCGGGAATCAATCAATCGTTATACAAGGGGAGGGAGAGAATTAATTAATTAACAGTGTCGGCCGTGCAAGCATGCCTGCGGAGAGATCGATTCACTGAATTCTCATCGGAGGCCCAGGCTTAAATCAATTCTGGGCCTGGCTTCCGGCCGGCGTGGGCGATTATCTTCGCAGTTGCGAGGTTAGACTCGTGACCTGTCTCGTAAGTGTGGGCCACCACTTGCGAAAAAAACATCACCCCTTCTGATAGCCGGCTTATGTTCGTATATATGCGCGATAGTGTAATATGTGAAAATGGATTATATAGAAAGTTTGTGATGAGTAACACCA